GGTATACGTGCATGATGTACAGTACATGAGAGGATGGGAACCTGTGCATGTACATGTATACGTTCAACTTGTGCAGAGATTGCGAGTGAATAGGATGATATGCTTCACTGCACACTGCATCAGGCAGACTTCTCTGTATGAACTGACATCCAGAGTGCACTACATGTATACATTTTAATTGTAAATGTATATAACTGTAGAATTTATTTTTTTTGGTAGAGTAAAGCCAAGTGGTACATGATACAGAGACATGACGGCCTGCAAAGATTTTTTTTTGGGGGGGGAAGGCACATAAGAAAAGAAATCAATAAATCACATGTTGAGAAAACGAGGTGAAAGGCTGAAGAAATTTTGGTGAGTACTTGAGGTGTTAAGGAGTGGGACAAGGGTTAACCGTGATTTGCTTAGTCCTTTTGGTTACACAAACTTTTCAGGAAAAGATGAAAGTAACGGAAAGTTTGAGGTAACCGGCAGACAAGTAAATGGTATCTTAGATCCCATGATTAAGAGAAAAATGGTACATTTTAGTATTTACCTTTGACCTTCGCATTTTCAGAAACACTGCTGTCAGATGAGTTTCCAACAATGTCACTTCCCGCTTGCCCTTCAGGGTAAGGAGTATCCGGCTCAGATGAGTCTAAATCGCCATTGGATGCAGTTTCCCCGGTAACAAGAAGCACGGGTGCCGCGTTGCTTTGAGGGAGGCACTGCGGCGGCTCAGAAAAGTCCTGCTGTGGCGAGTCTGGAGCTGGGTTAGTGATAGGGTCCGAGGGGATTACTGGGGGTGATTCGGAGCTTTGGAAGGGGTTGACTGTTGCTCCAGGATCAGTGCTGTCGGCAGGTGCATCTGCGTTTGTTAGAGTGATGGCTTCACTTTCTGCTTTAGGGAGAGGGTTATGGGTGCATGGTGAGGAGTTCGTGTTAACAGAAAGACATACCGGTAGGATGGGGAATTGAGGAAAAGAATAGGCGAATTGCAAACAAAGAGCAATGCAGTGTAAAAGAGGGAACGATATTGATGATTGAACACAAAGTTGAGAGTGAAGATCCAAAGTGAGGGGGTGGGTAGCAAAACAAGAGCAAGACGAGGCAGAGTGAGATGAAGAGGCACGTCAACAGGATGTGGGAGATGCACAAGACAGATTGAAGCAATACAAAGAAAACAAAGAAAGAAAGGAAAAGTGAAAAAGGCAGATAGAAATGAAGGAATTGTGTGAAAGAAGGTGGGGGAGGAGAGGAGACAAACGAAAGAAAAATCAGGAACAGAGTTAAACTTGCTTCCCATCACCAAAGTCATTCAATATAAATATTATTTTCTGTGCACATAAATAATGCAGCTAAGTGTCCAATCTATATTTGAGTGCTCTACAAAGTTAGAAGTCAACTTTTAAGAGCCGTAAGATACCAAGACAGAGAACAAAGCATGTGAAGTGATCCAAAGCACTTTTAGGTAACTCTCTTGTGATCATTCTCCCTGGAAAAGAATGACAAGTTATCGCTCTATTCTCAGAGTGAAATTCTTCAAACTGAAACCAGTGATACCTGTATCTGTACACAGTACATGTACATGTATGCTACATATATATACCGGTACATGTATGCAAAGGCATTTCATATCACATCAACACTAGTCCTCTTTTAGTCAATGTTACAAACCTGTCCAGAACGACACCAGATAATGTGACCTTGCCTAACTTCCAACATTCCTTTATGCAGTGTTTGCTTTGTTTGAGTACACCATTTTTTTTCTTCTTCTCCATCTGGGCAAGCACTTCATACGCAACGACTTCAACATGACCGCATAATGTTCATGTACCGGTACTCTCACTTATTTTGCTGCCTCACGCAGGGGGCCATCTTGGAGAATGAGCCAAGAAATTGCAGACAGGACTGCATTCCAATTTCTTGTCGGGTGTGCGTGCAACAAGCACAAAATTGCAACACTACTGCAAATTGTTAATTGTTCAAGTAAGCTTGTAAAGCTTTTTCAGAAGACAGACCCCCTTTATGAAAGACATTTCGTTGTATTTACATGTCCATAGGCATGCAGAATACTGTAATACTAAACTGTGTGACAATTATGCTACAAGTAAACATAAAAATGTACAAGTGGTTCAAGATGTGAAAATTTGAACCTTCAAGGGTAATTCCAGAAATTAGGGTCCAAATGTGGGACATTTTTGTGTCCCTGTTACACCTGACCTTTGTTATTTGACAAGGAAATATCCCCAGAATTGATTTCAAACTATTACTATTTGTTTGGCAGGTAATTTGCATTAAATCATCACGCTTGGAAATTAGAAATTAGGTGTTCTAAACTTACAAGATCATATGTTAGATGTAACAGGGGCACGAAAAATTATGGACCCCTAATGTCTGGAATTACCCTGTAAAAAAAAGGAACATTTATATAAGTATACATACAGTATGTACAAATGCTCCTGCACCGTAGTTGTGGGAACATACATATACACTTGAATATTTCACCTATTTTGAGGGGACCGAAAACGTTGTGGGGACTCACAAATGTCCCCACAACTCGGGTCAAATTTCCCTAATAAAAGAACTTGTCCCTGAAGGCGATGAATGCCTACCCTCTGGAACGAGTACATTCTACATGTATGTAAATGTACACTTGGTTACACACTTGTCCTACTCATATTAATTAATGAGATTCTATCACCTACGATCATCACTTGAGCTGATCTTCTAAAGAGCGTGCCCGTTTGCATTCCTCACACCTACTTTTTTTTCCTAATCCCTACAAATATGCTAAAAAGGCTCTCCATTCCACACACACAGAGCAGCTCACTTGAATGACGAGTCACTCAAGTCAGTTAGTGTGTCTGTACAGTGTGTATGCAGTGGTGGGGCGTACATGTATACATGTCCATAACACAGCCTGCCGTAATTCCTTTCTCGACTTGCACGTGTTTGCAAGGGATATGATCCAGACGGTTTGGTGCTGGGATGTCTTATACTTGGAAGCCCAGTGAGCATTTAGTGTCATCCTGTTCTGTCAACAGGACAACGCATTTTCTTGCCTCAAGAAAATTTACATATACTGTCACCGTCTTGACAAAACTGTTTGGTATGTGAACATTTCCCTTGCATACTTGAAATACAAGACGGTAAACTTTCTGACATTGAGCCTGATAAACTGATCTTTTATACACTTAAATATGTAGGTGCTGCATTATGGATGCTCAGTTTTCCAACGTATTTCATGTCTACAGTACTGCAAGCGAGTCTTGCAACAGACATCCTGAAAAGATAAAATGTATGCAACATTAAGACCTGCCAGACATGCATGTATAAATGTACATTTCAAATAACCGCCCCTCGTAAAAGCGCATGAAGGAGGATCGATGCTTTTTCATCCACATGCATGTGCAGGAAGGTGTAATGCCAGTAAAAAATTAACTCATAAAATTTATGGGACATGTCCCAGGGACTTTTTTATGGAAGATGGCATACGCTTACAGTGACCGTTTTTTTTTTTTTAAATGGGTCTGCTTACATTAAGTTCCATGTGCACAACGCACTGGGCTCAATTTCGCGGCACTGCTTACCGCAAGCGAAAAATCACATAAGCACATTTGTCGACATTACTTGAAACAAAAAAGGAAGAGTGCTGTAAAAAAACTGTAAGCAGTTATTTTGGTAATAAACAGCATATCAACTTCCTCTGATATTACTTTTATTTCAAGATTACACATGAACAGAAGGTCAACAGGTCACACCTACATGTAATCAACCAGCAGGTGCAGCAGGTGCTAAGACCACTTATGAACTGGTGTACACGTATAGTGGTTGGCAGTAACCTAACAGTACGATGGATATCTGCAGTATCCAAGGAGGAAACATGTTACGTATACATGTGCATTGGACATGAGACACATACCCACGAAACAAAAACTACCGCTTTGGGCCGGATTGATAAACACCTAGCTCTCAAGACAAACTCTTTTATAGCTTTGCAAGCAGACGTCATCTTCGATAAGAAACCTGATGGTCTAAATCAAGTTGTTGACGGAGCTTGACTCAATATGCAGGTATACTACTACAGTATGTGACGTGACATTAACCAGGATTGGCCTTGGCCTTGTGATCTGACTGTATTTATCTCGGCAGGAACAGAAGATTTTGTTGCTTTCCTCTTTTGGTTGACAAGGTTCATGTATAACAGCGGAAAGATCTTTTGTCTCAAGAAAGCAACTCTTGGACAAGTCTGAATACAGGAGAGTAAAACAGGAGCTTTACAAAAAGTAACAAAAATCTGCTTGATTTGTGTTGATTGACGACTTGGAGTTGCTCCACAAAAAATTGCTTTGCAAAAGGAAATTAAAGGAAAATTAGGTCATCAACTAATTATTATTTGATGTACATTGGGAAGACTTTACCAATTCACATCCGACCTTTTAAGTTTTATGCAACATGGGCAGGATTTCTTTTGACTATGTCATTTTTCCACTTCTTGTTTTTATTTCTTTTTTGTTTTTTGATATGCAGCTCTACGAAAGTGGCCAAATGAGCATGCTCAGTTGACTGGCAGTAAAGTTAATTTTTATGACATCTTAAAATTTCATCATCAAGAAGTTATTTTTCACTTCAATCAATCTACTGCTTCTAATAATAATTAATAATTTATTCATTTATAAAGTGCAAATTTCATATAGATATGTTCAAATGCGCTGTACAATGAAGACATTAAGCGTGGAACAATGAATACATTTAAACATGATTGAGCCGATGGCATACAAGGGCCCCTCAGGCAGTTGCCAAGTGACCCACATTCACCAACATCAGTAAAGGGGAGACAGTAAGAAGCTGTTACAGTTTTAGAGGTGGGAGGAAACCCCCAGAGGAATATTCTGGGTAAAACCCACAGAGTCAGGTAGGGATTGAAAAGCCAATTTACATGTGGACCGGGCGGGGAATCGAACCCGGGACCACAGAGGTGGAAGGCGAGGAAAGAACTACCTTGCCAACCTGACCCCCCTACATGTACCGGCGGTGCCTTGCCAAACTGCTTCTACAGGGACACAATAAAATTATTCATGAATGTATATGTCACTATTACTGACAGAAACACAGACCTTGACAGTAATGACGTCATGACCAGCACATGTAGGCACCGCACCACAATGAAATAAAGACACAGTTAGCAGAAAAGTCGTGCTTACTGTAGCAGGAAATTTTTGCTAACCATAAGCACTATTTCATGGTGGTGACTGCCATTTAGTTTTGTCATTACGTTAAGCAATTTTTTCTTCTGAGGGTACATGTAAAGTATACCGTTTGCCATGGTTACTGCTTACAGTCTTCATGAAAAACATGGAGCCTCAGTTAGCATAAAATCGTGTGCTCACCACTGCCACGAAATTGGGCCCCAGACAAGGTCACATGCACGAGTTACACCTTTGTCACTTCAGGTGTAGATACTTTTGGAAAAGCAAACCCATAATACACACCAGGGGTTCGAAAGAGAAAGGTTAAGCCGTGACGATTGGCTGGTTCCGGTGAATAGTAGGCACTGATGTGGGACATATTTTTTGAGCCTACTCCATCAAAAGGCAAGGACACTACTAGCCATTTTGAACAAACCCATTAACGTGTAACCGGTGGACTGAAAACATGAACAAAACAGCTTGAGCTTTTTTACATTATGTAAATCCTTTAAGGACTGTTTCATTTACAGATATGCCATTGTCGACGTCCAATGCTACATTTTACAATTTCAATATTTCTCTCACTTTAGAAGGATACGGTAACAAGTGAGTGAATCTGTATTCCATGTAGGTACATGTATGACATAAAAGAAAAATCCACAGATGTAAGTCCTTCTCCTCCCCCTCCAAAAAAAGTAATCAATGA